CAAGACACTCCTACTAACCACTGATTACCCTGTTAGTCTTACTGTAGGGAAGTACATTTTGCAGGTTAAGCCATCCTTGCCTTCCTGGGGTAGATCCAACTTGGTCACTATGCATTTTATAAAATGGGATAATGCAGTTTCTCCTCATAAACTACCAGGGGAGAGTTATGTGAGTAAAAGATCAGTGGCTGGGATATAGCACACACTCAACAAATGCTAATCATCACCTGTTCCAAGTACTGCTAGAATCATGCTGCTAAAAGCTTATGATTTATGCATCTATGTTCAGATAAAGATGGACTTGCATTTCCTTTTCTTACACCATTCTTGTCTGATAGTATCATGGACATACAAGCATTATTTAGCTAGAGAAAGTACTTCTTTTTATCTGGAAAAGTTTACATAAAATTATAATTTTTTATTTCTTGCATATTTATTAAACTTTGCCCACAAAACTAAATGGGACAGGATTTTTTTAAATTAAGAAAATATTTGTTGTGCATTGACTCTACAATGCTGGTGCAATTGTCTATTTTATTTGTAACATTCATGTGTGACCCAATATAACTCAAGTGTGACTCAATATAATTCTGTTTATGTCTGTAACCCTCCTTTTGTAGTTTATGAAAAGGCCTTTTATAGTTTCCTCTCACTGAGAATTCAGAGGATACAAAGCAAACAAGTGGAGTCTGCACAATTTGAATAAAATAAATTTGTATTTACATTTAATGTAAAAGTAAACATTACCTATATAACCATTAATAATGAAAACTGAAAAAAAATTGACTTGGAACTATTGAAATAATTACCTTCAGGGGTAAAATTTATAAACATACACAAAGCCTTTGGTTTGAAATCAGGGACAGACATATTATAATAAATTGTAAAAAACATTGTTAATGAAATGATACCAACTGAAGCTAAGGGGCAGACACCACTGCCACACCACCAGGCTCTCCTGCTCTATCTGACCCATGCTTTAACTAAGGCTCCAAAATGGAGACCAGAGTGCCAGTGTGCATACAGATGACAAGAACCTTGGAAGAACTGTTAGATATATTGAGATGAAAGATATAATCTCCAATAAGATCTTGACATGGCAAAGCAATAAGCTGAAATCTCATGAGAAAAAAAAGCATAAAGAATTAAGGATAAGTAAGTCCTTGCATGAGGATTAAAAAACCAGCTAAACACCAGAATGCAGTGGAGACTGATGAATATGCTCAAACAACTGTACGTATACACACATTATATATATTGTGCATATACACATAAATGTATGCATATATGATGTATATATAAAGATGTACATGTTTGTTAAATCAAGTTGTATACACATGCATACATACACATATAATATCCCAAAACAATAACTATATGTATATGTGGAGACTTAATGGACAATAACTTCACCGGGAGTCAAAAGTGAGCTTGTGTGGTGGACAGAAAGTGAATCTGACTCATGGCCTCTGGGAAGGGAGGGGGGGTCCATTTGAGTCCTCAAAATGCACCCGACGGAGCCTGGAGCATCAGGGGCAGCATGGATTGCCCATGATGACAACAGGGAACAAGAGGGTGGCCATGCAGAGGGACTGGGGTACACCCCGCAAATGCAAATGAATGTAGAATCAACTCATCATCTGCTGAGTTGAAGGAACTGGGAGGAAGCCATGGTGGTTACATCAGAGGAGGAAAGCCAGCGCAGGAAGGAGTGGGAGGTGTCACCGTGTGTCCCCACATCTAGAAGCTTGATTATGAAGAGCAATAGGGGTTGATGGCCCAACAGGACAATAGCCTAAGCCCAAAGTGGGAAGCCCCAGAGAGAGAACTTTTAATTCAGCCTGTGGAAGAAAAGCTGAGCACTTGGATTTGTCTAGAGATGACATGTGTCCTCACAGGAGATGGCAAGTTCCCTGGTCCCCAAGGGATTGAAATACAGGGAGGCAGTCATGATTGGCTTCAACATCCTGGCTAATATTTATGGGGAGCTGGGTTCTGCCCAGAAAGATAAGAATTCAAGTGTTGGGTGGAACTGAGATTCAGCTGTGGGGGTGGGCTGCAGTGTGACATGGCCAGGGCCGATCCCCCTGGTAACCTCCCAGAGCATCAGCTTGCCAGTGTACAAAGTGCAATGGTAGGTATTTGTGGGGTTGTGGGATCCTGTATGTACTCACACTACTGCTGGCATCAGCCTGGCTTTCTTTTTTGTTTTTTAAATTTATTTGTTCTAATCAGTTATACATGACAGCAGAATGCTCTTTGATTCATTGTACACAAATGGAGCACGATTTTTTATTTCTCTGGTTGTATCCGAAGTAGGGTCCCACCATTCATGCAGTCATACATGTACCTAGGGTAATGATCTCCGTCTTATTCCACCATCTTTCCTATCCCCATACCCCTCCCCTCTCTTCTCCCCTTTTCCCTATCCAAAGTTCCTCCACTCATCCTATGCTCCCTCCCTCTGATAAGTGATTAACATCCACTTATCAGAGAAAACATTCGGCCTTTGGTTTCTCAGGATTGGCTTACTTCGCTTAGCATGATATTCTCTAACTCCATCCATGTACCTGCAAATGCCATAATTTTATTCTCTTTTATTGAATAGCCTGGGTTTCTTTTGGGGTCCGTTCTTTCTACACTTCCCATCTGGGTGGTTCTGCTGTCAGGCTGGCTCGTGACCTAAGCCTGGCCAAGGATGTACAGTGTCCCCTGGCAGTGATGATGGGCTGGTTCAGAAATGGTCTGTGGCCCATGTCAGGGCAAGCAGACATGAGGCTGGATGGCCTGGGGTACAGCCAGTATTTGTGATGTCATGGACAAGGAGCTGTGGCGGCCCACAGTGGAACACACAAGTAAACCCAGCCGCAGGGAGCAGAACTGTGCAATGACCTTCAGTACAACCACTGAGCCGCTCGAGAAATCTGATGTACTTACTAGTGGTCATGTGCCAAAGAGGAGTTGTTCCTCCTCCTTCCCCTCCTCCTTTTCTCCTTCGTCAAACCATTTATACCTGGGGCTTTTACTACTCAAAATACTACCAACTATAAAATAGGATAAGAATAGTACCTCAGTTTGGGGTTCTTGTGGGCATTACATGATACAGTGGGTATAAATGGATTAATGTCATAAAGAATGCATGCAGTAAACTTCAGCCATTGTAATTATTATTAACGTCATTATAATAATTTTGGTCAAGTGGTTGGCCATTCAGAAGAAGAAATATGAAAATTAGGATTCTACAGGTCAAAGTTGACAGTCTAGAGGCAAGAAAAACTACAGTAATGAAGAATGAAGTCCCAACATGCCTCCTAGAGCTGTTTGGCAGGACTAGACAAAGATTTGAAGAGCAGAAAATCTGCTACTCAGAGACAGCAAAATTCCTTCCGTGTTGCTACTCATGTGGGCCATGGGGGACTTTTACTGTCACATTGATCCTGAAAATCTAAATCCTGAAACACGCAGTCCCAATCTTTTGTAGCTCGAGTTACCATTCATTTCATGGTAATTTTCATGGTGCCAAATCAAATAAACCAAATCATTTGTTTATTTCAAATGCTTGCAGTGAATTTAGAAAGTATACTTTGTGTTTCAAAGATTTCTTTGTCACTGAAACCATATTTTAAAAAATCTCAAATGGATGAGCTAAATTCTTGGCGGCTGTAAAGATATCATTCAATTTTTTTTCATAAATCTGTTAGTAGCACGTTGGACTACCACGGTCTTGAAATGCTTGTGTGTTTCAATGTTTGCAAGTCCTATGAATTTGTTCCAATAGTGTTTCCAAGGAGGTGAAAAAGTATAATTGTTTTTCTGGACTTTTAGCAAATTCAATATCACAGATAAAGTGAAATTAGCATTTAAATTCTATAGCCAAAGGAAATTAGAAATAAAAATCCTGACTGGGGTTATTAATAACAACTCTTCACAGGCGAGTACAAGGTCGAGAGAGAGACCTTACCATTCAGCTTGCCTCAGATATATCTGAGCATCAGCAGACACTGGGAGGACCCACTCAGAGGTCTAGGGGTGCAGAGAACCCTCCTTAGGAGGTCTACAGTAAGCTGGTGCTGGGAATAGGAGGACTGAGCTGGCATCCCAAGCGCTAGGCAGAACTGGAGGACTAGTTTGTTGTTAATCCTAAGGGCTGGGTGGAACTAAGGGACTAATTAATTGGTAATTCTGAGGCTGGATGGAACCGGACTGCTAGTTTTTATCTCATCAGTTGGACTGGGAGCACTTCACAGTGTGGAAGCTCCACCTGGGCGTGTGGGGTGTGTCCGTGAAATAAGGGGTAAGTAACTTGTGAATTTCACAGGTTTTTTTTTTTTTTTAAATGAGACTGGGGGCATTTGAATACATATCACTTATATTATCTCTTATTGTCTGATCCCAAATTTTCCAAAAAAGTTTGGGATCTGAAGCCAAAAGAAAAAGAGAAGACAAGGTGAATATTTTGTGTGGAGTAATTTGACCTTGTCTGTACTTCCAAAGTTGGAACAATTAAGAGAGAGGACCTGGTTTGATTTTTTGTGGCCTCTCTCTTTTAAGTCACTACCAAGTTATGATCACATTGAAGAAGACATTAAACACTCTGGTGTATTTCATCTAATCAAGGGCATTTTTTACTTTTGGAAACCATGGGAAGAAGAGGTTCTCAGTACCGCCAGCAGTGGGGCCTGCCCCACCATCACAGAGACACCCTCTAGAGCTGGAGTTGGAGCAGGCGGCCAGGGTGGTGGGAAACAGCCCCCTGGACTGGGATATGCAGAATTGGAGGGGCGCCTATCGCTTGTCCAATGTGTCCAGGCAACTCGTCAGATGGACAGAAGCCTCATCCACACCTAGAGACTTTATGTATGCTCACAAGTCACTTAGAAGCAGGGCCGAAGACCAGGGGTCCTCACCTCCAGATCTCCCTCCACAAACCATAAGCACTTAGGAAGACACCTCTAGACAACCCCAGAGACATGCACCTGAGCTTGGCCTTCACACTGTACCTTGAAGTATGCTCCTGACTATCACCTCGGTGTGCTCGGCCAGGAGCTCCGCCTTGGCGATGGCAGCCAGACACAGGTAGTTAGACAGACTCCTGCGCAGCTCCCTGCTGCCTCTGTGGAGGTACTTCACGGCAATGGGGATGGCTAGTGCCATCACAGGGGGCCGGTTGTAATTCTGGGGAAACACAAGAAAGCAACAAATGACAGCGACTCACTGTTCACTCATCTACTTAACCATCCCAAATATTGCCTGGGCCAAGCTCCCAGAATGCACCTGTGGAAACGCAGGCTCTGCCCCACCTACGTGGCACCTGGGAACTCTCGGTCTTTTTGGGGAGAATTTGACAGGCTGTTGACAGAAGAAGCAGAATGCAGGGTGCCCAGGGAGCAAAGAAGGGGCATCAAGAAGGGTCAATAACACTTCCTGGAGGAGGCGACATCTTGGCTGGGACCTGAGAGGTGCACAGGAGATGGCTGGTTATGGATAGGAAAGCTGTGGACACAGGAAGAACCCTGTGGAGGCACAGGTGAGGAGCCCTTGGTGCCCTGGGTGGGGAGATGGAAATAGCTGCAGATGGATGGGTGGGTGGGTGTGGGGAAGCCAGGAGGATGGAGCCGCACACAGAGGCACCAGGAAGAAAGGGGATTAATCTCCATGGCAGCCAGGAGTCCCTGGGAGAGGAACACTCCTCAGAGAATACAACCAAAGGAAAACTGAAGAAGTCGCTTTCTGACTGTAACTTAAAAACTGCAGCTCTGTGCAGTCAATCCAAGAGGAACGAGGAAAGAAGACGCGGCAGAGACACACAATGGAATATCACCCAGCCATAACAAAGAGCGCATCCTGTCATCTGTGACGTGGAGGGAACTGGAGGCCATTCTGGTAAGTAAAATACATCAGGCACAGAAAGAGGGAGCTAAAAGAGGTGACTTCATAAAAGTAGAGAGTGGAATAGTGGCCACTAGAGGCTGGACTGTCAGAGAACCAAAGCACATTCTGGAGGGAAGAGTACCTATCGTGCTCAACACAGCAGGTGGCTTAGTTCCCAGTGATTTATTATACAGTTTATAAAGGCTCTGAGAGGGGGGTGTAAAGCTTCCTGACACAACTCAAAGAAATAACAAGACTTTAAAGGGAGGGAAACGCTACCTGCTGTAATTCGCCCATTGCATGTTATGCACAGGTGTCAAAATCACCCCCTGCCCTACAAAGATGTACAAGGTCATATGTCAACCAAAAAAAAAACCAAGAAACTAAAGTTTCAGCTGAGATTCAGAAGGAACAAATACTGAACCTTTGACTAAAAACATAAGGCATTCTGTACCCTAAAAAATTCTCTTCTTGATTGATTTTGTAACTGAACATAAATACCCTTGCATATAAAATACTTCTATTGGCATGTAGTTACCTAATTAGGAAATAATATTTGGAAGACACAAGTTGTTTTCTTAAAAATGAATGACACACATTAGTATCATCAACTTCACCTCTCTGTTTGGGAAAGGAGTTCATATTATGATATCACAACAGAAAGGTGGTTGTTTGGAGGGTCCTCTAGCTCCTCCCATAATTCTGGGTTTATGAGAAGTCCTCAATAAACACCTGGTTTTGAATAACTGATGAAGCCAATGTTGATGTAAGGTGACAGTTGTCACTGGGACGTAATGCAGGGGAAGGCACCGATGGAAGAACAGCCTCTGGATCCTAGTCTGTCTACCCCCATCCTGGTGGGTGATCATGGAGGTGTGGCCCAACTCTAGGTCTCACTAGTAAAAGCAATTACCAACCAAACAGTGTTTGATAAATAGACCCCAAAGCATTAATGGCATAAACTGCCTGGCACAGGAAGATGGTAGGCTACTAAGGGACCATTCTCTTGCTTGTAAAGAGGACCAACTCAGGATTACTGTGCTAATAGAGGTTCACACTCAGGCCATCAATATCAGGTAAATTGTGATCAGATTCAGAACACTGAGGGGGAAACCTAGAAGAGTGGACAAGAGTATTATTACAAACAATAATGACTCATTCCTTTTTTATTTAGCAATAAATTCCTGAATTATGATGGGACAGGGGCACATGGCTAAAGATAGCCTTTTTTAGTCTTCTTTGCTATCAGATGTGGCGTTGTGCAAAGTCTTGGGCGATGGGATAGGAATGGCATTAAGGTATTTACTTCTAGCTTCTCCTTCCTTCTCTCCCTTAGGTGCTGGTTGGAACAGAGCTATGGTAACAAAGATGGAAATAGTCATCCTAGATCATAAGTTAGAAAACATGCATGGGTAAGGCAGAGAAGATAGAAGGGGCTTGGGCTGGAGACCAGGAGTTAGAAACCATGCACAGCTAATGCAAAGAAGATAGACAGAAGGAGCCTGGGTTGGAGCCGCCATCGAGCCACCATTAAGAATGACACTCTTGAGTTGTTTCATGGAAGACAATTCAAGTCCTGTGCTGTTCAGTCCTCTGTCATAGGTCTTCATTACAGCAACCAAACCTGTGTCCTGACTAATACAATGTAAAGCCAGACTTTACTCTTAAACTTTCCCCTAAGCTTAAAGGGAACGTTATATATCCTAATATTATAAAATGTATAATTCCATTTTTGCACATGGAATTATACAAAAAGGATAACAGGAAGGACATGAGGCAAGGATTGTCACTGATACATGGGATCCCTGAGCAACCGGATGTCATCTTAGAAACGAGGCAGGTGGGGCCACTGGATATTTGTACCAACCGTCACACCAGCCATAATGAGACTCAGCTCCAGACAGATGCATATCTACAGGTGAGAAGAAAGCACAGGGAACATCCTGACAGCCTCAGGTAGACAAAGGCTCCCCACAGCCTGCTCAAAAACCTTAATAATGCAGGAAACGTTACAATGTGGATCAAAGGAAGAACTTCTAATCATTCTGTGATATCTCTAGGAAAGTGAAAAGATGGTCCAAAGCTGGAGAAGATATTTATAATAATTCATCCAACAAAAGTCTACTAGCACCCAGAATATATAAAAAAAATCCAAATCGATAAGACAACCAAATAAAAAACTGGAGGATTTGAACAGATATATTACACAAGAAGATATCAAAGTGGTTCAAAAACACAAAAATTTTCTCAACAGGATTAATTATTAATTTTGGTCTGGGTTCTGATTATAGGGCTGTGTTTAGTGAAAATCATTGAGATGTGATATGACCTCTTTTCTGAAAAAGAGGTGCAGTCACGTAAATTCAGATTTCATGTATTTTTTAACTGAGCTCAAAAGTTAGCATAAATGCAGGCCTGAATATTTAAGCATACCTAAACACCTCCTGTAGGGCTTGTGAATGACAGTGACCAACAGTGGCGAGTCCAATGCAGCCAGGAATATAATACAGTGGTGACAGTGTCAGGAAGATGACTCCCTTACTTATGCTGAGCACATATTATGGGATGGTTGAGACAGTCTAATGTGTGCTCCTATGAGCGTTGGTCATCTTGGGGAGATGACATTGTACTACTCAGTCTTAGTGTCCAGTCCATAAATACTTCCTCACATCATAGAAAATGTCATTGCTCTGGTTTTCTTCCACCTTCAAACCTCAACCTCCTTAGACGTCCATTCATCCTCCCTCTGAGGCTCCACCCTTATTCCCCTTTGAAGAACCATCCCAGATGCTCACAGTGGCATTTCTATCTGAGGTCTTGAGGGCTTGGACGCAAAAACCTGCCCCGAATCCAAATGCTGGGCTCAGAAATGGCAGGTTACCAAACCAGAATTAAGAACCCATGGAAGGGCTGTGTGAATGGCTTTCTTCTGCTGGATTCAAGGAGGTGAGAGGGAAAGATCCAGAGTAGCTGCCACCCTCTGTGACCTCACTGCTAGGGACCCTTATGAAACTCAAGGAAATTTGGATGTCCCTGAGAGACAAGTTGGGCCAGACCTGGACATGCCTTTCAGCTCCATGCTGTGGCTGTGCTGAGCCTGTGGTTTTCTAAATGAGCCAATCAAATCTCCTGTGCTTGAGCTCCCCCTCCCTTCTTGTCACTATAAACAAAAATACATATGGACAATCTTTAATCCATTCCTGTACTTCCATCCATTTTTCCAGACCCATGGGTCCCTCTGACCCCTAGGCAGAAAAAAGGAGTCCTTACCAGCCGAGCTTGGTATCCCATCATGAAGCCACCCCTGACTCTAGGCTCTGTGACAGAACATGTATCTAGACTGCAGCTCTACTCAGTAGATCATCTCACATCTCCTAACACCACCCAAGTATCAGGAGCATGGCCTACAGCCAGACTCTTCTGAATGTCTTTGGATTTTCTCTTTTTTCTGGTGAATTAAAGTGGGCCTGATTGGATTGGTCACTACTGCTGAGTCAGGAGGCCTCTCTGGGAGACTGGCTGCTCCCCGCCCCCAACCCCTGGAGGGCTGCTCTCAGCCTCAGAAGCCTGGGCAGATGCTGGGTCAGGCCACACAGAATGTTTGGATCTGCCAGCTCTTTGATCCAACTCACACCAAAGAACTTCAAGCTGGTGCATCTCAGTCATCCAGTGGATTCACCCACAGAGGGAGACTTCCCAAGGTCAGGCCCTGGGCATTGCTTTCTCGTTCTCAGGATACCAAGGAGCCAGACCAGGACCCAGAGTATTTACACAAAGGCACAAAGGGGGCACAAAGGCAGACCAGACCAGAGAGATACTGAGGGACGTTTCATCCAGGACCTCGGTGAAACCTGATTCTAATAACACGCCAGTCCTAAGCAGAATCTCCCCCTTTGCTAACTGCAACTTTCTATCCATCGAGTCCATTCTATCTCCCACATACCATCTCCCTACCCCTCAGTGCTGAGTAAACTTGCCAAACCAGTGCTCCCACACTCTGCAGAGGTGGTGTTTAACAAGGGTAATTGACTTGGCCAGTTTCTCAATTTGCCCCTATCCTATACCTTGAGGCTACATTCAAGTCACTTCAGTTAGAGCACTGGATGTTCCCAAACCCCACAGTCTCATTTGGGTCACTCCTCTAGGCAGCCAGTCTGTCCATTACATGGAGGCCTTTGATGGGTGAACTTTAATACAGCATACCCTTGTCCCCATAGTGATGGGTCATCACTCTGGCCTCAAGGGTGAAACACAATCACATAGTCTTTAGTGCTTTCCAACCAAGAACTCCATGCCCAAGTTTA